AAATACTGTAATGGTGATATATAAATCACCTGTATCATTGGTATGAAGCTTAAAACATAAAACAGTTAAAATAATGATAGTGACAATAATTTGTTAAGGGATATACAATAAAAATATGTAATTGTGACATAAAGACAAACTATGGGGTGAGATAAAGTAAAAATATTGTTTTTCTTACATTATCAAGATGCTATCAACCTAAAATAAATTCCTTATCACTATGTTTTATGTAAGCCTTACAGAAATCACAAAGCAAAAGGAACCAAAGCATATCACAGTCATATGTGATAAACCTACAAGTTAAATTACACTCAACAGTGGAAAGTTAAAAGCTGTCCTCTAAAATAGGAAACAAGAGAACTGCTCACTCTTTCCATTTCTATTCAACAAAGTAGTGGAAATCTAACCAGAGCATTAGGTAAGAGAAGGAAATAAAAAGCATCAAACTGAGGTGGGCACCTGTAATCCCAGCTACTTGGGGAGTTGAGGTAAGAGGATTGCAAGTTCAAGAACTGACTTATAAGAAATGCCAATGGGAACTTTTCAAGGTAAAAATCAAAATATTTTGAGACTATGTCTCAAAATAAAAAATAAAAAGGTCTTGGGATGCAGTTTAGTCGTAAAGCACCTCTAGGTTTAAACCCCAGTATAAGAAAAACAAAACAAATGTCACAACAATAACAACAACAACATCAAAAATACTCCCAGAAAAATAAATGAACAAAAAGAAACAAGACAACAAAACAAAACAACAAATAAGAAACCTCGAAATAAAGCAAAAAGCAACCAAATTGGAAAGCAAATAAACTGTTCCTGTTTGCAGATGACATGATTTTATATTTTCAACATCCTACAGACTCACCAAAAATCTGCTAGAATGGGTAAACAAACTCAGCAGAGTTACAGGATACAATATCAACATGCAAGCATCAGTAGATTTTCTGCACAAAATAAATTATTCAAAGAAGAATTTTTAAAATTCCATTTACAACATTTAAAAATAATTAAATTATTATAAATAAATTTAACTAAGGAGGCAAATGATTTATACACTGAAAATCATAAAACATTGCTGAAAGAAAATGAAGAAGATATTCCTGGATTGATATTTCTGCATTCAAAGAATTAATATTGCCAAAATGTCTAATTTTGTATAAAAATTAATAATCTGTATAAAAATTCCAATGATATTGTTTATAGAAATAGAAAAGAATCCTAAAATTTATACAGAATCATTAAAGATCCTGAATTAACAAAGGAATCTTAAGCAAGTAGAATAAACCTGGGAGCATCACACTACCTGATTTTAAAATATACCACAAAAGTATAGTAATCAAAATAGCATGGTGCTGGGATAAAAACAGACATACAGACCAATCGCACAGAACAGAGAACCCAGAACTACGTACTTTTAGCTAACTTATTTTTGACAAAGATTCCCAGAATACACAATGGGAAAAAGTCTGTACAACAAATGGTGTTAGGAAAACTAGATATCCACAGGCAAAAGAATGACACTAGACTCTTATGTCACATCATTTAAAAATCAACTCAAAATGGATTGGATAGTTCAACATTCAATCTAGAACTATAAAACTAATATATGAAGAAATATGGAAAATGCTTCTTGATGACATTCTGGACACTGATTCTGGATATGACCTAAAAAGGATAGGTATCAAAAGTAAAAATATATAGTTACAGCAACCAAAAAGCTTCTACACAGTAAAGGAAGCAGCACAGTAAAGAGTCAATCTACAGAATTGGAGAAAATACTTACAACCTGTGCATCTGATAGCGGGGCTGATACCTCAGACACATTAGGAACTGAACTCAAGAGGAAGGAAAAAAAAAATAACACATGGACTTCCAGGAAATTCTGTTCTTTGCAACTACATGGATGAATCAGGAAGGCCACTGAATTAAGTGAAATACACCAGGCACAGAATGAAAAGTACTTGGTGACCTCATTATCTATATGTGAAATGTAAAAGTTGAACTCAGAACAGAGAACAGAATGGTATGGTATGGTACAATTTAGCCGTTCCACAATGTATACAAATTTTAAAACACCATTTTTTTACCTGATTCACATATATAATTTTTGTCAATTTAAAAATTTTAATAATAAGTAATGAATAACTTGTCATAATTTAGGACAACTTCTTGTAAAATGAATGGATCTCTCTTGAGTCTACCTACTGGTCTATTTCATTTTAAGCTAATGAAATGAAACCCAAATTGCTGTTTCCAAATATGAGAACAAAATTGTGTTCATCCTTAGCTTGTTAACTGAAAAGCAGCAACTTGGAACAGAAGCCATCTTGAAATACAGTTATCTAAAACATGAAAATTTGTACTAGCCTTTAATTCAAGATGCATGCCTCTAGGTAGAGATGAAATGAAATACTTATTATTTTATTAGACCAATTGCTTCAGTCTATAAGCTTCATTATCAAATTTCAACTTTAATTTTTACAATCTGAAATGACATGGTTTTGAATACATCACTCTTAAATAAACACTTTTGGTTTAATGCCACTGTCCTCTACATATTAATTAGTAGGAAAATAAAAATTTATGCAATACAATTTATTATTCTACTTTTTAACTAATATGAACACCATTCATAAAATATGCTTCACTTTAATCAATTTCCATAATTTATTGCATCTTTCTTTTTTAAATATTTTTTTAGTTGTTGATTTTATTTTATTTATGTATTTATGTATGGTGCTAAGAAACAAACCCAGCGCCTCACACATGCCAGGCAACTGTGTGCTACCAGTCCCAGCCCTACTGCATCTTTCTTTACACACATTAAATCTAAGACTAAATTCTATATAAAACTACTCCTTTGCCAATTTCATTTATGGAAGACAACTTCCTATGGACATTTCTGAACATAACTCATTTTTCCTTCCAGGCACTGAAGACACTAAGGGCAGGAAGTTAATTGTTTATGTGTTTATGTTTGTTTTGCTTATCGACTGACTCTGTCTTGGTAGCTTGAAAAAAGTAAAGACATCTGATCTGGAAATAAAGAGGAATTGGTTCACTGAGGGCAGAGAGGAACCACCTCTGCACTCACAGATTGCATCTATTCTACCAAAGTACAGCTTGGGATCCGTGCACCACGTGTGGGAACAATTTCTCATTTCTCTCAAACTTAGTCACCACCAGCCAGGACAGAGGGTAGAGCTCAATAGCAAATTTTTAAAGAGAAAGCAAAGTCTTTTCTACTTGTATGTTTTTAAAAATATGCACATTGATAAATTATAGCTATATGTGTTTTTAAGATACAAAATGATGATGCTGTGATTTTTTTTTGTTACAATGTGAAATAACCAAATTAAGCCAACCAACCTATCCATCACCTCAAACATTTTACTGTATTGAGAACATTCAAGATCCAGCCTCCCAGAGACATTGAAATGTATAGTATTCAGCTCTTAGAAAAGACCTTACAAAAATCTGAGGCTTTGTACTCCTTGATTATTATCTCAGCATTCATCAGAATGTTAAAAATAATTATAGTTCAGCTGATGGCTGAGAACTGGGTAGCAACCACTGGTTCCTAAAACTCAACACTGCCTTTGAACTTTTTGGAATCTCACAGCCTTCTCTAACTGCATTCTGTTATTCCATGGCTGACAGTTGGAGCAGTTTCTTTCATCTGTTTTTCCAATTCCTTCTGGTTTCCTATACTATAGAATAAAAAACTACTAATATCATGAAAACACAGATATCCAGAAATGCCTAGGAAATACAGCCAGTTTGCTAGAGACTGGGAAAATAACTAGCAGCACTTCTATACCAGACTGCAACAGTAATGAGCATTTCCTAACACAGAATGTGAAGCAACCATCATTATTTTTGTTTCTGTTTTAACTGGTTCAATCAGATTTCCATGTATGAGAACCAGGGCTAGAGTAACAAATCATGTGAAAGGACCAATAGTACAAGCTGTTTCTCCTCCAGGACTAGCTAGATTCTTTATTGAAATTTTGATGACAATGCAGAATCACCACTTTAAGCTGAAATTTCCCTATCAATTCCATTTAGAAACTTACTACACACTTTCAGCAAAGAATTCAAATACCCTCCTCAAGAAACCCAATGTGCCCTCTGTGTGTGTGTATGTGTGTGTGTGTGTGTGTGTGTGGTGAAGGGGATGAAACCCAGGGCATTGCCCATCATGCTAGGCAACTGCTCTACCACTGAGCCACACCCTGAACCCTTAATCTTATCTTTAATGCCATGTGACCAGCATAGAGCTGTCAGTTAGGCTGCACCATCTAAACTTCACACATTTGTTTTTAACATGCATGGGAACACCCTGGAGAGCACTGGGATTCATAACGCTTTCTTTAAAATAATTTAAAATTTAACTTTTATTTCTATTTAATTCATGTTGAAAAAGGAAAAATAAACACACAAAGAATTTGATGCCTAATTAGTAAAGTACACTTTTATTTTGATGATTTTATGGAAAATAACTAGGGGCAGAAAAATGTCTGTGAGATATTTAGGCTGTGATTTTACAAGAGTGGCTGAGAGTAAGTGACACATCTCATTGCAACTCACAATTGTCTTCTTCTCTTAATCTTGTCTAGTTTTATCATTAAATAATTTCTTATTTGGCTTGTGAATTCTTCGATGAAAGTGTGTATTAAGTTTCTAAATGTAACTTGCGAACTTAATATCTGCTTTGATTTTGGCTTTCTTGAGTTAGAAAATTACCAAGTTTTTAAGGGTTATGCCGATTGCCAAGTGAGGGGAGGTTAGTGGGAGAGCTTTTCAAGGAAGGCTGCAGCTCCTGGCAGGCAGCACTTAGGATTACAGGTGCACTCAGATAAGAATATGGTTTCTACCTTGATTAGCACTCACTGAAAATTACCAACATGACAAGAAGCCTCTTTCAGCTTGACAAAAGCTTCCTGCATTTGCAATTCCGTGGTTCTGAGCCATTTCTTGTGGGGAGACACTCTTTCACTTACCTAAAATCATCCCCAACACGAGAGATTTGACAGCATTGAATTCCACCCCTGATGACAGAGTGGCTCTTCTCCTTGCATTCTGGTTAACCTATTAAACAGTCCACAAGAAGTAGACATGGAAATGTGAGCAATTTGGATGATAAGAGGATGGGAATCAAGGGCAGGCCAAGAAAAATGACAAAGATAAGTGATATGTTAGTGCTATCAGAAAGATGAAAGAAAACAACTTCAAACAATAGATTATCTTGAATGGAGAAAGCCCTTTCTTGAACAATTTCAGTAATACATTAAATTCCACTTGTCCTCACTGTCTCACCCTTTTCCCTTTATTTTTATTCATGGTATAAGTATCCATAAATGGTATAATCCGTAGGAAATGCAATAAGCTATTTTAAATCTCAAAGTTTAATTTACTCTGGTGCTTTTTCAAAAATAGATTCTTATTTTAAGCAAGATCTTGACCTTTTCCTTGTGTTTAAATTGCTGTAGCATTTATTCTTTTGTATAAAGTGGGAATGGGTTTGTCAACTTTCACTATCATATATTAGATATTTCTCTATCAAGTCAAGTAAAACATCTGAGGACAGCTTTGCTTTTTAAACTGTTATTACTTACTAACAATAGCTTTGATAATCTCATTGCTAAACAAAACACTTTGATTACATGTCTGTCCTAACAAGACTTAGAGAATAATAGTGCTAAATGGGTATTTCTGTTATTAAGATGTATTATCAAAATTTTGCTTTAACTCATACATTCTGAGAGCCACTATTTTAATTATTGATGCCATTGTTGGATTTATTATCTTACCTCTACAAAGACCACTGCAGCTTCTCTGTTAATCTTCACATTGTGAAGTTGCCCATCAGCCAGGTTTTTAAAATCAAAGTTAAAAACATCTGGCTCTCTGTGTCTGTCTAGCTTATACCTGATCTGCAAACTTCCTGAAGACAAAAAAAAAAAAAGACAGTTTTAACTAAAACAAAACTTTACAAAAATTGCCCACGCAGGTTCTAAATCACATTAAATTTTCTAAATATAATTTGAATCTATGGAGCATTTTTTGGGGTGGAACAATATATACTTCTCCTGGAAAATTGATCGTTTATGAGCTATTTTAGGGCCACATTCTAAATTTAGTTACTATTTTAAAAGTTAATATCAAATGGATTATAATGAACAGTCTCCTTTCCAACATCCTCAATTTTCCTTAACTAAATGAAAAAGTGTAAGTTGAGCATATGAAAACTCTGAGCCAGGCTCTAAGTCAATTATTAATGTGATAGTCATATTATTAAATGGTAAAACCTCAAGCAATACTGCATTAATGTTCAGGTTCTTTAACTTCTTTTAATCTGAATTCACTGCAATTTAATGTATTGTTGACATTTGCATAATTAATTTTTTTCCTTACACGATCAGGATTTTTCCCCCTAAAGTTTGTGCCATAACAAAGAAATAGAGAAAAATAGAAATATATTGTTTTTTGCAGTATCCAAATCTCTCATTCCACATACTGTACTTCTTCACAGATGGAGCTCAATAATTCTCTTAATACTTATAATTCTCATATGGTTTATGCATATCCAAAGAAACTAGTTTAAGATTGTTTGTTCTCCAACTGTGTACTCCTGAAAAAGCCTTAGCAGGCTTCAGTTGGGTGGGTCACTCAACTTTTTCATATAAGCACGACACTAGTGATTTCTCAACTACTAATAGATAAAGAACCATCATATTTATTGGATGCTTATGGATATTGTCTTTTCTATGGTTTAAATATTTCTTTATTTTTTTTCTTAGAGGGAACTAGAAATATTTTCCATGTATTAAACAAGATATTTCAAAGAGAACTAAAAAATTCAATTATATATTTCATACATAGAAGCATAGGCCCCCCCCCCCCCCCCCGGAATCACAGGAAGCACAGTTTCACACCAAACCCATAAAATAATCAAACGTTTATGGGAGAAAGGCATCTTAATTTAATCGTTGAAATGTTAACTTTTGCTGTAAATATTTGGGGTTATAATGAAAAATAAAGCAACTGTAGTAAAGCCTGGTTTGTGGCTGGATCACCGAAAGGTCCTGTGGCTTTATGGTCACATTTTTCTTACTCAGTTTCTTATTTATTTATTTATTTATTTATTTTTTATTGGTTGTTCAAAACATTACAAAGCTCTTGACATATCATATTTCATACATTTGATTCAAGTGGGTTGGTTCTCATACTCACCATTGGAGGCAAGGATAACTGAAAGGTACTCCTCATAGACAGAGCTTACAAACAGCAGCAGGCTGGGAGTCCCCGTGGTTCGGAAGCTCAAGGTGACTATTTCCCTGGTTAGTGTTAGCTCCTCATGAAATAAAGCTGCTAAGGAGCTGGAGTTCCCATTGAAGGTGTAATTGTGATGCTCTTGAAAACTGTAGATTATGGAGGAACCAGCTCCAAAATAGGCAGAAATCTCTGGACAAAATTTTTGTTTTGTTAGTAATACTTAAGTACAATAATACTTGCTTTATGCACATTTTTTAAAAAACCTAATCCCTCACTATCCCAAGAGAGAAAATAATAATGGCATTTTTACTGTTTCATTTTACTTTTACAATTTTAAGGTTAAAAATGTATATATACTATTATTTATCTAATATTACACATAATATTACACATAACTAAATATTACACATAACTAATTCATTCTCCATTATTTTTATAACTTGATTTTGTAATGATAAATATTTCACTGTTGCCTTCAAAATGTTTCATCTTAGATTTACATAAAATTAAATCTCTAGTCTAAACATATAATTCAGAGGTTTTTCCTCTCCATGGGGCATTTCACTATGGCAATCCAGAAATGACTGCTACCAGAGCTAACAGAAGTAGCCAGTAATGGCTTCTCAAAACAGATTCCTATCTCTTCCTGAATTACACAGAGGATTTGGGACAGAAATTCTATTTCAAATCATCATAGAGTTGCTTTGTCCTTTCTTTGTAGCATCATATGCCAGAACATTCTTCATGTTGTACCTGAAGCCTCCTTCTTGGCCACTTACCATGTGAGCAGAATGGGCCCTCATAGGCAGAGGATGTACAGTCGCAAGCCACTCCTCTGTGCCGTTCTTGACATCTCCCCCCATTGTGACACAAGTGTCCATAGCTGCTGCAGTGTCCTGCACACCCTGCCTCCACTCCTGGAGTCACCTTGGCTCTTCCCTCCAGGTCCAGAGCCATCCCGTTCAACTGCAGAAACCGAATGCACCCCAGAAAGCCCCTCTGCCTGCTGGCCGTTCCACCTGCAAGGGAAACACTGCAAATGGCAGCACAGTTCCTCCTGTACTATTGGCAAGTCAACACTCCACCTGAGGCCTTGTGGACAAGATCAAAAACCAGGACCCTTAAAAATGTTCTCTATGGAGATCCAAGATTGTGGGCTAGAGGAAGGCTGCATTCTGTGTTGCTCTGTGACCTGGATTCAAGTAGTGGGGAATACTGTTTTTCTGTGAGTTATTAGAGGACCCCCAACAGCTGCGCCAGAACATTAACGCACAGGTCCCTTGCTGCAAACCCACACAGGATCCTGGGTTGTGGCTGCCTATGCGCAGGACCTCTGGTCACCATTCCTCTGTGCAATCCCATGAGGCTCCCCTGTCGCCTCCATCTTGGGACACTGTAACCACTGCCATAGTCCCTTACTTGCGATAGCCTGCACCTGGGGACACCAAACAGGGTCTGAAGACAGCCACCAGCCACAACACTGTACACCACCAAGCTGCATCTCTGAACAGGACACCCAACGCCACTGTCCAGCCCTTGGGACACCTTTGTCACCATCTTTAGTTGGGGCAACTCCCAGTTTGGCAAACCGGCTGGGTCCTAGAAGCAATGTCAAAGTACCTATAGTCCCCAACTCCTTCCTCCCCTGCAGCCACTAACCGGGCACAGTGCTTGCGGCTATGTGGCAAGCTCGCAAGCCTGGCCCTGAACTGCCCAATACAAAACAGCTCTCTAGGACAGGTGCGCAGCCCCCATAGCACAGTCCATAAGATCTCTGGAGAGAGAGGTTCCTGATTGGGAAGTAGAAAGGGAGGGGGTGAGTGAGATATAGTTTAGAGACTACATTAGAGACCAGGAATTGTGAGGTCTATGGTCTATAGGTGATATAAGGAGATAAGACCAGGCACCTACATCACATGAGTAGGCTCCAAAGGAGATACTTAAGATGCTGTCTCCCACTGGGGACATGCAACTACTATATGCCACTTCCAGGAGCTCCCGTCCCCAAGACCAACCCTCCTACCCTAATAATCTTCATTAGCCTAAGGGTGGAGATACCAGCAAACAACAGACAATCCCAACTACTGGATGAGTAGGGAAGCAGGAAAGATACTGAACTCCAACAAAAACAATCCTTGTATTTTCCTTTGAGATTTTTTTCTTTTCTCTTTTTTCCCCTTTCTCTCTCTCTCTCTCTCTCTCTCTCTCTCTCTCTCTCTCTCTCTCTCCCACCCCCACATCCCCAACATTTGTGAAACCAAGTATTTTTCATGGATTAGGCTATTGAGGACTGGAATGTCTGTGTAGTATATGACAGTTGTGTTGCATATTCTTATATCTCCTATTTCTACATTTTTATTTTTCTTAATTTTTATGGTTATTTGATTTTTATTCTATTGTCTTCTCACTTACTAGTCTCATCAAAATTACTTTCTCTCTTTTCTCCTGCTACTAGCCAACTAGATTCCTTTTTCAAGCTTCCTAAGATCTAATAAGTCTTTATATCCTTACTTCCTACCTCCTTAACATCTCATCCTATACCACACCCCTGTTCTCTTTGTTCACCATCCGAAACTGTAGACCCTTTTGCAAACCTACTGTTTATATTGTAGATAATAATTAAACTCAACATTTCTGCATATTGTGACAAACCCACAAATGTCTTAATAGTGGTTATTTGGTTCAAGGTTGTATATTGTTTGTATTGGGATCTGTTAATATTGTTCTCCCCCTTAAAAGAGAGATATTGGAACCCTGCAGGGACACTATATGCCTATAGGGTAAAAACTGTAACACCTTGGATCTGCAGTGCTACAAGGGAAGACATACAAACAACATGAGAAAACAAGGGAATGAAGTGCCCTAAACAAACCAAGATACTATATTACTAGAATCCATGGCCAGCACAGCAGAAGAAATAACAGAGAAGGAGTTCAGGATGTACATAATTAAAATGTTCTGTGCATTAAAGGATGATATAAGAGAGCAAATACAGGCAGCAAAATATCATTACAATAAAGAGTTACATAAGCCAATATAGGAAACAAAAGATTCCTTCAAAAAGGAGATGGAGGTTATGAGGGGGAAAAAAAAAACAAACAACAGAAGTCCTTGAAATGAAGGAAAGAATAAACCAAATTAAAAACACAATGGAAAGCATCACCAACAGGTCAGATCATTTGGAAGACAAAACCTCAGACAATAAAGAGAAAACATATAATCTTGAAATAAAGTTGACCACACAATGAAACCATAAGCAGAACATTCAAGAATTATGAGATAACATAAAAAGACCAAATTTAAGAATGATTGGGATAGAGGAAGACACAGAGTTACAAACCAAAGAAATGAACAATCTATTCAATAAAACCAGAAAATTTTCCAAATATGAAGGATGAATTGGAAAATCAAATACAAGAGACTTATAGGACACCAAATGTACAAAATCATAACAGATCCACACCAAGGCACATTATAATGAAAACACCTAGCATACAGAATGGGAGAATTTTAAAAGCTATAAGAGAAAGGAATCAGATTACATATAGGGGGAAACCAATTAGGCTATCTGCAGATTTTCCAATCCAGATCCTGAAAACTAGAAGATCCTAGAAAAACATATGCCAAGCTCTGAAAGAAACCAAGAATCTTATATCAGCAAAATTAAGGTTTAGATGTGATGACGAAACAAAAACCTTCTATGATAAACAAATTTTTTTAAAAATTTACAACTAGAAAGCCTGCACTACAGAACATCCTCAGCAAGATATTTCATGAGAAGGAAACAAAATCAACAATGAAAATAAGCAATGGTAGATTTTACACTAAAAGAAAAACCAATCAAAGGAAAAACCAAGTCAAGTTATATAGTAAAAATAAACAAAAGTGACTAGAAATATAAATCACGTCTCAATAATAAACCTGAATGTTAATGGCCTAAGCTCATCAATCAAAAGACAGACAGGCAGATTTGATTTAAAATAGACCCAACAATATGCTGCCTTCAAGAGACTCCTCTCTTAGGAAAAGACATCCACAGATGGAAGGTGAAAGATTGGGAAAAAGATATCCCTCACATGGACTGCAGTAAGAAACAGGGGTTTACATCCTCATATCACATAAAGTAAACTTCAAGCCAAAGTTAATCAAAAGGAATAAAGAAGGATATTATATACTGCTTAAGGGAACCATACATTAACAAGACATAACAATTATAAATCTATATGCTGCAAACAATGGAACATCTATGTTCATCAAACAAACTCTTCTCAATTTCAAGAGTCAAATAGACCACAACACAATAATACTGGGTGAGTTTAACACACCTCTTTCACCATTGGACAGACCTTCCAAACAAAAGTTAAACAAAGAAACTACAGAACTCAATAATACAATCAATTAGACTTACCAGACATATATAGAATATTTCATTCATCAATGAGTGAAATACACTTTCTTCTCAGCAACACATGGATCCTTCTCTAAAATAGACCATATATTATGCCACAAAGTAACTCTTAGCAAATCCAAAAAACAGAGATACTACTCTATATTCTATCAGATCACAATGGAATAAAATTAGAAATCAATGATAAAATAAAAACTAGGAGCTACTCTAACACCTGGAGACTAAATATGCTATTGAATGAACAATGGATTGCAGAAGGCATTAAAGAAGAGATTAAAAAGTTCTTAGAGGTAAATGAGAATACTGATACAACATACTGAAATATCTAGGACACTATGAAGGCAGTACTAAGAGGAAAGTTATTGCATGGAGTTCATTCCTTAAAAGAAAAAAAAGTCAACAAACAAATGATTTAACATTACATCTCAAAACCCTAGAAAAAGAAGAACAAACCAAAAAAGTAGAAGCAGGAAATAATTAAAATCAGAGCTGAAATCAATGAAACTGAAACAAAAGAAACAATTAAAATATTTGACAAAACAAAAAGTTAGTTCTTTGAAAAAAATAAATAAAATTGATAAACCCTTAGCTGTGCTAACGAAGAGAAGGAGAGAGAAAACTCAAATAACTAACATCCATGATGAAAAAGGAAATATCATGATGGACACTACAGAAATACAGAAGATAATTAGTAATTCTTTTGAAAATTTGTACTTCAATAAAATAGAAAATATTGACGGCATCAACAAATTTCTAGAGTCATGTGATTTGCCCAAACTGAATCAGGATGATATATACAAGTTAAACAGATCAATTTCAAGCAATGAAATAGAAGATGCCATCATAAGCCTACCAACCAAGAGAAACCCAGGGCCAGATGGATACATAGCTAAGCTCTATAAGACCTTCAAAGAAGAACTAATACCAATACTCCTAAAATTATTCCATTAAAGAGAAAAAAAGGAAAAAAATTCCAAACTCATTCTATGAGGCCAATATTACTCTGATTCCAAAACCAGGCAAAGACACATCAAAGAAAGAAAACTTCAGACCATTATCTCTAATGAACATAGATGCAAAAATTCTCAATAAAAATTCTGGCAAATCTAATACAAAAACATATTAAAATGATAGTGTACCACAATCCAGTGGGGTTCACCCCAGGTTGGTTCAACATATAGAAATCAGTAAATGTAATTGGTCACATCAATAGACTTAAAGATAAGTACCATATGATCATCTCAATAGATGCAGAAAAAGCATTCTACAAATACAGCACCCCTTCATGTTCAAAACTAGAAAAACTAGGGATAATAGGAACCATATCTCAACATTATAAAAGCTATCTATGCTAAGCCCAAGGCTAACATCATTCTAAATGGAGAAAAATTGAAAACATTCCCTCGAAAAACTGGAACAAGACAGGGATGCCCTCCATCACCACTTCTTTTTTTTCCTAATTTCTTTGTTTTAATTAGTTATAAATGACAGTAGAATGCATTTATATACTTTGATATATCATACATAGATGGGATATAATTTCTCACTTTTCTGAGTGTACATGTTGCAGAATCAATATTGGTCATGTAGTCACATATATACATACAGCAA